TAGTTGTTCATGTGGCGCTCCAATAACTGGGTAAATGCCATCAATCTTAAAGGATACGTACTTTAAAAATTTGCGTTGAATACTTTCTAAATTATTACTATATGTTTGATACCCAGGATTCCAAACTACACTAGGATATTCTATCTTAGACAGAACGAAAGAATTAAATAGTAAAAATAAAACGTCAGTGTCATTAAACCCTCGTGAATGCCTTATAGCGAAACTAAGGTTTTTGTAACTAGAAAGTACAACAGTATTAATATGAAGATTAAAGCTCAGCTTTGAATCAAAAATAACTCCTAAATCTTTAAATTCAGTTACTCTATTTAGAGACATATTATTGAGTGTATAATTGTAAATATACGGTTCAGTTTTTTTTGTGAAAAACAGAACGTTCCACTTTTGCACATTCAGTGCCAAGTTATTTTGTACACACCAGTTTTATTTAAATTTATTTGCAATTGAAGGGAATCGCAGATAGAATTAATATCACAATAAATTTTCAAATTATCTGCATACAGAAGACAATTGATGTCAATCATATCTACAATGTCATTGATAAAAATAACGAAAAGAAGAGGCCCAAGTATTGAACCCTGTGGTACACCAGATGAAGCAATGAATTCGCCAGACTTGAAACCACGGTATTCTACGTATCGGCGCCTGCACTGCAAGTATGATGAAAAAATTTAGACAGTTTATCTGGAAAACCAAACTGCTTAAGTTTATACAAAAGAATACCATGATCAAGACTGTCGAACGCCTTACTAAAATCTGTATAGATTTGTCCACCAGAATCCACAGAATCGAAAATGTACTGTGTTAAGAAAAAAAATTAGTAGTGGTAGACCGACCCTGCATGAAACAATGCTGAAAGTCGCTAATCAACCCATGAGTGCTAGCATAAATTGCTTTATGCAGTAACATTTCAAAAACCTTGGAAAAGTTAGAGATAATCGTGATAGGTCTATAATTAATCACAGAGTTTTTATCAACAGTAAAAGCACAAGAGCTTTTTTTTATCGGATAAATTTCTCTTTGTAACGAAATAATTTTGCCAGTCAGTAATTTTATAAGAAAAACTGACATGAAAAAAATCGCGAGACCGCAGGTCGAGCGATTTTGTCAAATGTCAGTTTTTCGAGCAAAATTACTGATTGGCAAAATTTTGAGTTAAAAAGAAATTTATCCATAAAAGAAAAGCTCGAGTGTTTTTTGGCAAGATAAATTAACGACAGAATATGTAAACGAACAACAACAATAATTATCTTTATTTATACAATTATTTAAAGGAACAGTTATTAAAAATACAGCTGTTATAAATTGTTATATATTTTTATCGGTGATAAAAAACGATGCACCTTTTTTATCGCTGTCAAAGTGACAAAAATGTGCTGTCAGATAGACTTTTTCATATAGGAGTTAATTTATCACCTTAAAAATTTTCATAAGAGGACAGGCAAACGCTACAGCACAGTCGCGTAAGATTAAAGCAGGTATGCCGTTAGGACCAGAGGTAAATTTAGGTTTGATTAGTTTTAAAATATCAAATACTTCATTTTCGGAAAAAGTTGACTATAAAAAATCTCAGTAACATCCTGTGTTTGACAGTTCGGAGGATAATGTCGAAATTTTAACAAAATTGTGCATTTTATGGGTAAAAATATGAAACTTGGCATGTTATTAATAGCTAATTAGTAATTATAAGCGTTGTAGGCATCGATGGATTGCAGTTTGAACCGCCATGTTAGAAAACTGCCAAAATTCATTTTCAGCTTGTAGCTTTTAATTGGATGTACTTTTGAACACTAAATTTTTTAATCATTACAAATTTTTTTCTAAACCTTAAAGGTTCCGCACCATTTTCAAAAAATTGATGCCTAATACTAAAAGTGGATTTCTCCGTTTAGTATTTTTAGACCTAGAGTAAAAGTATACAAAAGCTAATCAGCTTTCCATTGATGCGTCTTAAATAGTATTTTGAACAACAGTTTCCTCAGAAAATGCTGATCAAAACAAAGTTGTCAAATATTCTAAAATGCCGTCTGTGATTTACTTTTGGCACAGGGAAAACTTTTCGCATCCTTGACATATGCAAAATGGCTTAAGTTTTGGGAAGAGAAAGATGCAAATATCTTCTAGCTTTCCATGTCCTAACGCGCTGTAATACCACTGCTAAATTCTTAGGAAGAGATAAATGAACTTGCTGAACAACATGGAACAGTTACCCATAAGTGGCACATACCATCTGTATTTTTTTCCAGTGCAACTTTAGTAGAAAAGGTTGATGTTGTTATGCTTTCTTTTGAAAAGGTCGCTATAGTCAAGATGCAAATTCAAACAAAGTCAGACTTATCTTTTTTTATAGATAAATAGGTACTTGGACAACACTACACGTAGGTTTGATGCTCTTAAACAATATGTCCTCAGAGCACACTAACGAGCAGGCTATGTCTGGGAACGAGCCCCTCAAACAGCTACAGAACTGTCTGATTTGCAGATGTTTGGCTGGACTCGAGCTTCAGAATTTTCACCTTGGCAAGCAAAATGGATCACGCACCCTGCTGATGGTGCAGAATCTCGAGAGCCAATTAGGTGCAAATACAAAAACTCATATTCTGTACATTCTAAATGTGAAGATATTGAACTGTTACTACTAAATAATAGATGCCTGTTCAGAAAACGCTGGAATCAATTCAACCAAGCGACTAAAAATATACTTTTTTATTACATTAAGAAACAGTACGTAATTAAATTACTTGCTTCCATTATTTAAATAAAGTGAGAAAAACAAATAGCACATCTAAATGGGTTACAGTTATTAATTATACTTATTTGAACATATTTAAGTTAAATAAATACCAATTATTTTTCGAAAATATATATAGAATTTGAGAGTCACTTATTCATTAATAAATAAAAATGCTTTCAAAGTAGGTAGTGCGTACTGTAATTTATAACCAAATGTGGTTATTTATTACTACGGTATCTACTTAAAAATGGGACAAAATTCCAACTTTTGATACAATCAAAAATCGGTCTTGGAAATATTCTACACTTTTAATATAGTAAAGATGATTCTTATTATTTTTCTGTTAAATACGTAATGAATAGTAGAATAATTTTTTTAGTAAGTATATAATGACTAAAATCATGGGCGCCGTTAGAAAATTTTCCAAAGGGGGCAAAAATAATACGATGTGTGTAAAATGATGTTGGATTTCTGGGTGTGCACCCATGTGGCTGATATGTTCCTAGACAGAGCGTAATTGTTTAATGCTGCGTTTTCACCAGATATCCAACTTAAATTTATAAACCGCTGTTAAAATTTTTTTATTAGTAATATCGAAAAACGAAAACATACAGTAAATTCTAAATACCATGTAGATTTAATATATAAAATTACAGGCAATATTGATGCGAATCTTTTTTTCACCTAGAAAATACGATTATGTACTTAGTTTGTAATGATATGAACTAAAATGTTCGTATTTCTTAAGTAAATATAAAATTGCGCATTTTTTCGTGAAAAAAATTTTGAAATTTTTTATTGCATTTCTGAACGAATCTCGACGAATTATGACGATACACAAAATTTCAGACAGAAAAAAATTTTCTGTCTGTGTGTCTGTCTGGTTCGCGATAGCAGCTACAGTTTTTGAGATAAAGTTTTCAAATTTGGTACACACATTCTAGAGGTCAAGGAAGAGACTGAGTTCATTGATGAGCAAAATCGATCTAAAAAAACATTAGTCACATTCCGCCAATGTGACTTTTTTGAAACATCAAACTGTGACTTTTTTTAAATGTAAAAAAATGTGACTTTTTTAAAACGTCAAAGTGACTTTTTAACGTCAAAATGTGACTTTTTTGAAACGTCAAAAGATGTGACTTTTTGAAACGTCAAAAATTACTTTTATTATAAACTCCACCACACGTCAAGTTTTATTACGGTGAGGAAGTTCTGATCCCCAAGTAATTGGCAGCGGTCTTTTATACATTAACTCCATATTATATACGAGATGAATCGTGTGTTTTCATTTTTCGTTCTCATCAATAGAAAAATTTTAACAGCGATTTAAAGTTTTATGTTGACTATTCTGGCGACAAAGGAGTGCTAATACCGAATTTTAAGAGGTAAGGACTACAATATAACATTTAAAACGGAAAAGGCATCAGTATTAAAAACAAGGTGCTCGTACTAAATTTCGATAGGAGCCGTTGTTTTGGAGTTATTTTTATTTTAATATTGCAATACAGGGCAGGTATGCTATAATGGAAGGTTACTACATACCTCTACAAAAATAATTCCACTCTTGTTTTTAATTTATACGTCGGATTTTATAAAATCTGTGAAAACTGCAAATTTTCAAGCGTACGCAGATGATATACTTCTTCAATATAATTTCGAGGCAATGGAAATACAAACGGTTTCATTACAAATTAATGAAGAACTTGAATCTGTTTTTTCCTATGCAACAAAGCATAATTTGAAGTTAAATCCAAGCAAAATCAGTATGCTCCTATTTTGCTCAGAGACTAAACGGGAAGGTATAAATCAATTATTACGCCTCAATATAAATAACGTACCTTTAATTCTGTCACATGAATCAAAAATACTGGGTGTCATTTTCTCGATGGCCTCAGATTTAAATCTCATGTTGGTAAACTGCTTCAAAAGTCCTTCGTAAAAATGAAAGTTTTATTTGCTAACAGGCATTTAACACGCTTTTATTAGCTTCACCTGTATGTTTGCTTGCTTGCTTGCTTGTTTGTTTGTTTGTTTGTTTGTATGTAACCGACTCTTTGGACTCGATTTTGACCCACTTTAAACGGACAGATTTAATTGAAACTTTGTACACTTACGAAGAACCGGTAACAATACAATAATTTGATAAGTTTATATCATTATCCTGATCAGGATCGCCAGTCCTTTCCTCACGTATCCTCTGCGTGAGAGCAGAAGGCTTAATATTGTAAGTACATTCAATAATACTCAGTTCGGTCGTTGGCCGAGCGGGCTAAGGCACGTCGACGCGAAATGACGGAATCCTCGGGCGTGAGTTCAAATCCCATGGCTGAAATAAAAAAATACTTTTTTTTTTCAGAAATATCTGTTGGATCGTAATATCGACGCTTAAGAAACAATACCTCGTATCTCCATTTTTGTCAAAACTCGGTTTAGAATTTTAAATTAATGTCCTCTTCTATGTCCAACAGTTCCCAATATCTTGTAGCTCCAAGATTAATATTGATACCAAAAACTCTACTTAAAAACTTAAAAAAATACCTCGTATAACAATAAAATAACTCGTATCTCCATGATCTCCATGATAAAAATAACATGTAGGTTTCATATCTATTAATAAGAAAACTTAGTTTTTTTCGTCTCCTGTAAAACTGCTAATTTGGAGATAAGAGGTATTGTTTCTTAAGCGTCGATATGTTATATCAGCATCAATAAGCAATATAAATATAGTTAAAAAAAACTAAAAAACACGCTTTCATAGCACATCAAACTAAAAAGTGAAAAATAAATATAGTTTAAAAAAACTAAAAAAACACGCTTTTAAAGCACATGAAACTATAAAGTGAAAAATAATTATTAATATAAACTGAAAACAATAATGAACGAAAAATATTAGTATTATTGTGAAAAAAAGCGTGGGGCGCTTTGTGCCATATTTTTCGTATATCGAGCAACCCACGCTTTTTTTCACAATAATACTAGTATTTTTCGTTCATTATTGTTTTCAGTTTATATTAATAATTATTTTTCACTTTATAGTTTGATGTGCTTTAAAAGCGTGTTTTTTAGTTTTTTTAAACTATATTTATACATAATTACTGTTTTATTACATTTGTCGGCTATTAGTATAAAAATATTTGAATTCTCTGTAAAAATTTTTTTTTGTTTCTTTAAGGTAATGATTTAATTGGTTTTTGGTTCTATTATTTGCATTTTTTACTTTATTTTTATAATTTGTAAGTATATTTCAGATTTTGTTTCTAATTTTGATTTTATTTTCGTGGTTGATATTAATAAACCTTGTTCTACAATTGTTGCAATTATTTTATCGATAGGAGAAGTATTACAAGGCAGAGAGAATTTTGGTCCCAGACTTAATATGTATTTTACATTATTAGGTATTGTTATTTTTGTTAAATTTTTAAGCCAGTTTTGGTTAATTACAAGTGATTCTGATTTGATTCTTGTGTTCATTAGGCTGTTGATTTTTTTTAATGTGTTTGATTTTTGTGTTTGTAAATATGGTTTCTGTCTTTTCATTTAGTTTTTTGTAAAAGTCGTGTAGATAAGCGTTATCGTAAAAGGTTTTTAATTTTGATTCGTTTTTGTTTATTTCTCTTTCGGTTAGTTTTTTCTGTGAGTATGAGTCACTGATACAGAGATTTAAGCATTGAAAATAGAAAACTGAGAGTATATTAAGATATTTTGATTTCAGTTTTTCGTTATGAAACATGTAAGTTTTAGGTTTAATTTTAAAAATTGGGGGTTAATTACAAATTTTTACATCTTACCAGGAAGTTGATCCGATTTTTTTCTTTGGCTAACCTCCTATGTAGTTTTTCATGTATGTTTAGGTTGGGACTGAAGTTGTTGGATTCATCCTTTTGGCTTCTTTCTTTCACCCTTGCCACGATATATATATATATATATATATATATATATATATATATATATATATATATATATATATATATATATATATATATATACACACATAATATTGCGGATGGTTTCAAATATGTTTTAAATTTTAAAAAATTTTAATTAAAAGATTAGGTTACACGAAAATATAAAGGTATTTTTATTTTCATTAAAATTGTAGAGGGTTAGTTACATACTAAATTCAAACTTTCTTTAACATCCACTTAATTTTTTTTGTACATTAGACAAATTAAAATACTCTTATGCTATGGTTTTTAAGTCGCTTATAATTTATTTAATATGGAAGCAAGTTAATGCGTTTTAATAATCTGTCTTTGCTTTCAGTCTTGACTGTTAATTTTTGCGAAAAGAATATTTGAAGGGTAATTTATTCAGATATATATTCAGACTATAAGTATCTGAGTTCATATAAGTAGTCTGGTTTATTCATTATATTTGTCTACGAAAACTACACCAGGGACCCCAGTTATACCCTAAAGATATAAATCAAAATACTGACCATTGCAAAGTTATAAATCATGGCCTGCAGAGACCGATGAAGACTACCACTGGACAATGCGGCACATTTAGCACAAGAAGCTAAGATCTAGGGTTTCTACAATATTACATATAAAAACTTCCCGGCTATGCACATTATGTTTTGATAGGCGTGAAACATTGGCACTCCTAGAACGTTAGTTTTTATTGTTGACAGTTTTTCTACAAACCCACAGAATAATTAGACTACTGTAGTTGTATTATTAAAGCTAACGAAGGCACACCTTTGGTTTAGCTAGGATATGTATATGGTTGTCAATTTAGTAACGCGTATTATATAGTTTTACCGATAGAAATTTAATAAAAGAAACAATAAACAATACTACAGATATACCGGAAATGGTTGGTATATATGATTTCTTTATACTGGAAATAATATTGTTGCAGTATCTAGAATACCTATATGTCAATTCCAAATGAACTTGACAATGTTATGTTGAATTTGTTATATTCACCTAGAGCTTTTGGTCTAACACTTTTAGGAATACCCTTGTGTCTTGAAATTTGACAAAAATTGTACTCATAATTGACTATGCAATTGGTCTGTCAAGATATTTCTCATGGAATAATTCATAAATTTCATGTTGATTTCTAAATCGATCACCATTCCCATTCTCGTAAAATTTCAATTCTTTGTTTTTCAGATAATTCAGACATTTTACTCCTCTTAAATTGCAAAAACGCATACAGTTCGATTCTAGAATCTTAACAGACCGATTTTTTATAGCTACTTTTCGCGACATAATTTAACATACCCATGTATGTATGTATGACTAATTTTCCATATTCGCGAACAAAACTATGTGAGGGGAAGGTCTTGTGACGTCAAGAAATTTTGAAATTTATCTAACACTAGCATAACCTAATCGAGACCAGATTATGCCAATGTATGAAATAATTCAAATGTCAGCTGATTAACCTTAAAACCTATACTCTTAGATTTGTGATTATTAATTTAATATTTATTAAATTTTCTGTGCAACGTTTGAGAAGTTTGGCAGTGTTATGTTTTTGGAATTTAAAAAAATGTGACAGAATGGATGAACTTGAGAAGGAAGTTGAATTAGTTGAAATTTCTATAAAGAAACGGCCAAGGCCCTACTGATGGTAAGCGCCAATGTTTTAAATTGCCTTGAATTTTACAACAATATTACTCTCTTGTTTTATCAATTGCAGACCAATCTTTAGCAGAGCAATATATTACAAATGCTTTTCCTGAATGTTTTGGTGAAGATTTGTCACAGCTGCATTATGATGACAATGTCAAAACTAATATCAAGAGGGTATAGTTTTCGAAGGGCAAACCTACAATTGAGGATGACGAGGCCACAACGTTGTTCCTTCAATTAAGGCAAAGGTATGCAGAAAAATTTAATGATAAAAGAACTATGAAGAACAGTTTATGGACCCAGATAGCTAAAGAGATTGAAGCAGCCAGTTATGACATTTGTGCAAGTTCGAAGGAAGGACCAGCTGGAAAATGCAAAAAAAAAATTGTAAATTTGGAAAGCCGTTATATTAAACACATAAAATGTATGAAGACAACTGAAGAAGGTCAAAGAGATCCTCCACCCTTTTGTGATGAACTGCATCTATATTAGATAAGAGGCAGCGATACCTACTTGATTATTTTTATATTCATTAACGTTGTACTAAAAATCAATATACTTTTTAGGCGAAAAAAAAAGTGAACCCCAAAAACATAATCGATATAGGGGATACGGCACAAGCCGATAGGGAAAATGAACCGTCTACTTCTCAGGATAAAGAGACTTTCAAAAACGGTGATATCTGCTAAACCAAAAACATCAAGTGAGCTTTTTCTTCAAGAAATTTGAAGGCAATATGAAGTAGATAGAACTGAGAGATAAACTCAATTTAAAATTTTGCAGGATGCATTACAAACCCAAAACATTCAACGAGACCGAATGTTAAATTTATTTGAAAAATTAATAAAAAAACAGAGAGCGTAATGAGACCTTGTCAGATTCAGACTAATTTAGAATTTTAAAAGTAATAAATAAGAAATACTACTTAGGTTAATTATTTATGATAGATTTTATAAAAGAGTATAAAAGTAAAATATTATTTTATTGTATAAGGTATTTTAATCCATATCAGCAAGTTTCTAGCAATAATGTTTCTCTTTCCCTGGCCCAATCTGGCTGGCCGAGGATCGTTCTCTACATGATTTCGCCTTCTCTGGTTCTCTTCATGAGGTTAGGCCCACTCATCTTTATTTAAATAACAAAAGTTATGGAGCATGCATGCTGCTGTGGTTATTTCTACAGCCTTGCTTACTGAATAAGTATTAATAAATATTAGTCGCCTCCACCTCCCTTTCACAAAAGCAAATATATCCCTTCTACTGCTACTCTATCATTAATCAAAGAGTAACTATAATACTTTTCCATTCTTCCCAAATTTTCATCATGCCGATAGGGTGTCATAAGCCAGTTACTAATTGGAAAAGCACTGCCTCCAATTATCTGGTCTGGGGAAACGGAAATTTGGTCCATATCTTTCAATATTTCTTACAAAAAGTGAATTTGAAAAAACCTAAAAAAAATTATAAGTACAAAATATTCACGTAGATATATCTATGGTCATACTCTTGAATCGTGTGCTCATCCAGGAAACCCAACAAAAATGCATGTAAATACTTTTTATGCATTACAGATACCTAACAGGTTAATCCAATGCCCTTGATACCTGTCTATGTAGCTATCATGTTGATTGCAGGGTACCTTTAAATTAATATGTGCCACGTCAATAGCTCCAAGAGTATCTATAAAATTGCAAACATTCAATTTTAAAAGACATTATAAGAACATTGAAACACCTACTGGGGAATTT